CACCTACTCTAACCCTAACCCTAAATCTAATTCTGGTCATTGCACTGTCCCTAAGAACTGTCCGTAGATCGTCCGGAATTACAATGGTTAAATCATGTGCATGTCTGAAGTGTGATTATCTTCTCATAGTATCTAGCACTGTATTCATTACTTCCCCGTTCCTGGTTTCGCGCAACTGCGTTGCGCAGCTACTTATTCTTATTGAAAGACATATATAATTTGGTATAATATTTTTATAGTAGAATAAAGAAAAAAAAAATCAAACTATTAAAAATAATTCAAAGCTCTTTACATGAGTTCAGACTAGTACAGTACGTGATACTTAAAGACTATACAAATTTTAAAAGTTAATATCTTTTGATCTAAAAATAATATCAAAAAAAAAAAACCACCGCTTTGTAGCTAAAATCATTTACTATAACTTAGCGGCTTTATTTTTTAAAAAACTATAACAACTTTTGGGATATATTGTTTTAAAAATATAGTATTTTTAAATAATAACATATAAAAAATATCAAAAGTAGAACAAATATTAAATAATAATTAATAAATTTTTTTTACTATTTTTTTCTTTTAGTTAAATTCGAATTTAAAATAATAAATCGTTAAAATAAAATTGTTAATAATTTCTACATAGTGAAGTCAGAATTTTACTATGTAAATCGATATTGATGCATTAAGTAAAGTTGTTCAGGAGGTCAAAATACATGTAGTCTGAAAGTTTTATATAATTAAATAACTTTTTTATTAATAAATTTTTGCATATTACGATTGGGCGAACAAAAATTTTAAATTTTTTTAAAAATTTTCGACTAAACGTAATATACAAAAACGTATTAACGAAAAGTTATCTAATTGATGTGAAACTTTTAAAATATATGTATTTTGATCTCCCGAACAACTTTACTTAATGCATCAATATCAATTTTCATAGTAAAATATCGACTTTACTATATAGCAACTATTGACGAACCCGGAATGGGACAAATGTAGTCTTTAAGTGTCGCGCACTGTATCAATTAAAATAAAAAATATATCCGATACGTATAACGATACCCCTTTTTTTTTCGTGAACACTAAAATCGCAAAATATTAAGCTTATCGTTAATAGAGTTAGTGTTACATAAAAACTCAGATTGTGTAATATTCTTGTAAGGGGTTACATGTATTTTAATTATTACAGTATTAGGGTCTCCCTTAGCTGATTATTGATCGGATCTCTTTATTCTAATGGCTTGTAGAAACCAGCGTTGAACAAGTATAATGCTTAGAAATTGTACGTAATGATCTTTAATTTGATGAGAAAAATTAAATGACAAGTCTTGATCATGATATTTAATAAGCCACATTTACACTTTGTGATTTTCATGTGACTTTTTCGTATATCGGATCGATTTTACTATGGTTCATGGCAAAGCCACGAGTATCATAAGTAATATCTAATAAACCAATATTCTCATAGTCGGCTTCCAAATGATTTTATATAAATAATGCGATAATGATATATAACGGTGATCAATTATTATATTTTAATGATTTTAATTTTTATCGTTACCAATTAGAAATTTTTATAATAATTTTTATGATTTATTTTTCAACAATCGAAGAATCTTTTTACGATCAATGGATTTTTTCATGATAACTCCACAATCGACTATTTGGTTATTATTATTAATAATAATTCCGACAATAGTTGCTCATGAACATTCTACGAATCTAACGGGTGATATTGGAGCAACTGATGACCCAATTGATGGAACTCTTTGGGCCCATATAATATTTATGTCTTTAGCCTTTGGTATTATATTCCCTATTGGTATGTTTTTATATTATTAATAGTATCAAAATAGAATTTCAGAATTATATAATTATCTAATAACATTCTTTAAATGTTCAAAAGGCATGGTACTAGGCTTATCCCGTTCCCGCTACCATGTTCCCTTACAAATCATCGGCACCTTCATAGCTACATTGGGTTACTTTCTCGGTCACGCTCATGAAGGTCGACAATTTGCTAGTGATACAGCACATGCATCATTTGCTACTTATGTCATGCTTATCTTAATAGGACAAGTATTTCTTGGCTTATATTTGAAATGTCATTTTGAAAAGAATTTTAATCAATGGATCAGACCTATGGGCGTTAAGTTTCATAAAGTAATTGGTATTTGTATGCCGGTTATTGGATATATACAAATTGTTTTTGGTGTTATTACCGCTACTGGGTGGTGTAGGTAAGTTAAAGAAAGGAAGTGGACCATTTTTTTTATGAATTAGCTCATGATTCTATTTGTTAATTCAATAGAGGAAACAAACTAGGACAATGTCTTGCACACTTTATCATGGTAATTTTATATATCATCTTATCTTTTATTGATATGTAATAATTTTATATACCATCTTATCTTTATTGATATGTAATAATTTCTTTTAATAATTTTAATATATATTCATAGGGATCCTCATTCATGGCACATGGAATATTATTAATACTCATCATGAGATTTGCCACAGAATGGTTACGCCGTAAAGGAAGATCACAAGATTATTATGATAGTTGGGTTATTATGATTTGGGGATTTATAAATACATTTATGGAACATAGGTAAATAATACGGATATAAATATAAATATAAATATATATATATGAATTCTGGCAAGGAAAAATCAGACTCAGTTCCTGAAAATTTTGATCAGTGACGTATTATATGTATGTTAAGTCTGGTATGTTAATGACACTATACCCCGTAACATTGATATAGTGATCGGGGTAATTATAATCTTGTCGGTCCACATATATATATTTTTCTTCTTAAAAAGCATACATATATATAATAATTTTTCTGATCAATATTGAATTTCTAGATGGGGAACGGTAAGTATTTAATGTAAATGGTTATAACGAATTTAATGGAACGAATAGATTTATTATTAATACTCTTTCATAAAAGAATTGGACTTCCGGTGATTTTCAAGTATGCGTTATATAATTAAATCTTTTCTAGCCTTAATACTTTTACAATACCTTTTATTCCATTTAACCATTGCTTCATTATATATAATAGCACACGCTTGTGGGTATAATGTGGTGGTCAGGAGGTTTACTCGGTATCTATCTCTCCCGCAAAGGTGTAAAACGAAATATAATTCCATCAGTAGTAATAATATTCACCGGCTACATTCTGAGTCAGCAAACTCAAACATTAGCCATATCAACGGATATCCATAGAATGTTTGGAATTACTCTTATAGGTGCGGGTATTGCACGCTTGATAGAAGTTTGTTTTGTGGTCGTAGAGAAACCAATTACTCCATTCAGGAGTTTATGTCCTTATGTAAGTTTTTTTTTTTATTGTTGAGAAAAATAATATATAATATTGATTTGACGATTCATTATCAATACTTTTTATCAATTTAGTTAATGATAATTTCCGGTCTTCTCTTTATGGGTGCACATGAGGATCAGGTTTTATATCTCTCTACGAACAGCATTGATGCATTCTCATATGCACTAATTCAAGTTACAATAGCATTTTTTGTATTCTTTGCCGTGAATGTAATGATTGATTTATATTGGATGTCAGGTACGAATGATGGTGAACCAAAATATGAGATCATTGGGAATATTGCTAATGAAAATTTGAGTGACAATTCAAGAGGTAATAATATAAAGGATGTATCAGACAGAAATACTTTAGAAGGGAGAAATGGAATGGACGGTGGAGATGGAGGTATAGGAAGATTTGAAAGTAGAAATACAAGTTTTATAGATGATGGACATATATCAGTAAATTTGAATGATGATACAGTGAGAAATAACGATGATAATGTGGAAAGTGACGATGGTGTTGATGAACGTGATGGAAAAACTGAAAAAAATTCTGATGGATTTGTGGTAAATTATTTATTAGTTAGTCAACATGCTGATGAAAAATTACATGATGACGATAAGACGGATGAAATGTAGATTGACGATGTATATATGGAATATATTTCTCAGTGAATTTGTTTATTTAACCATAACAAACGTAACACAATTGCGTAATGTACTAGTGTGATTTACTAGTGATAATTTTTGACAGGCATGACATTTTTTGGGCCATGCAGTAATATTTTTTAATTTTACTGAGAAGCATGTTAATGAGATACCTAAACAGTTTTTGTAAATAAAAATTTTTGATCATATTTTATAGCTTGGGAATAAACGACATTGTGTAATTTAATCGACTGGTATACCATACGTGCGGTACTGCAGTACACGATTGCAAAATGTTGGTATTTTTCCCCACAAAAAAATGCGCTTTCTGTTCTCAATGTAGTTTATTCCTTTCTAGGTTAAGTCACAAAAATTAAAAATAAGCACACACGTTACGTATTTTATCAAATTTGATCTAACCGAATAAGGAAAGAAAGTATTCCTAAATATTAATCTTTAATTAGGTAAAACACACGATCATTGTGATTTCCTCAATAAGATAAATTTACATCATGCGCATAACACTATTGTCAATATAAGGTGGCTGGTGCATAACAAGCGAGGTGAAAATATGCACCCATCAACATATATTGTTCTTAAATTTCGGTCGAGAAATTCTAATGTGATGCCATTCCACATTATTCATTTTAATAAATTTGAAATTTGCACTTAGCGTAAGCAATGTTTGATATTTATTATATTCAATAAAAATCTTTATTTATAATTCAATACGAAAGAAATGTAATAAGTAAATGCTTGATAGTTGTTGTTTTCACTGTTAATAACATGATATGTAAATGCTAAGGAGAAAATAGAAAAACTAATTTGGTGTGCGGTGATAACTTATAATAACAACCTCATTGAGAATTTTATGTAAAGCCTGAACTATTACTATTTATATTTACGATACACAAATGCATTGATGAACAATGCCTAGCTATGACGGGTAAATATGTCCTTTAGTTTTTTTTTGGTATTACTACCTTATTTATTGGGGATAAGGACAACCAGTTATTTATAGAATCGGATGCATTAGTGTGATACATATTAACCTATATATATTTTTTAACGTAATATTGATTTCAGAACAATTGAATTTTTTGACGCCAACATGTTGTCCGAATTAAGTAACAAATCTTAATAAAACAATTTTAACATTTTCATTCTGCAGATTTTTTTTTTTATAAATACTTCATCCTTCGCTCTTTTGAAAATTATCAAGTTCGAATTATTTTTTTTTTCTCGATTTTTTTTTTCCATCATATATATATATATATAAAAAAAAAAAAAAAAAGGAAACTTAACGATTATTCGAAAATGACAGAACATCCATTAATGAAATTCATGATAAACCTTTTCGCTCCTGTCCAATTTAAAAAACCGTTAGGCGTACCAACCCTTCCCACCGAATGTATGTACCAAATATTTCAACACCTCGTCGATCAAGGAGAAGCGTTGCACCCATTCTTACTCATAAACCGTTATTGGTGTCGCAACGTAATCCCATTTCTATGGGCTCGTCCATTTGAACAATTAAACCCTGAGAATATGTACAAGATTATGTTAGTTTATCTTTCATCACTTAATGATGCCGAAAAAGCTGACCTTAGGGATTTATTAGTTCAAAATTCATACGACTCTGAATTTATAACCGAATTAATGCAACAAAACAATCCATTATTCAATTATCCTATGATGTTACAAGAACTTTCAATTAAAAACTTAGAAATGATTGTACGTTCTTGGATTCACAGATGTAATATGGAATTCGGTCGTCAAATAGATCAAATTGATCAAATGGATGTGCAAATAAACTCTATGACTTCAATTTTATGTAAATTATTCTTAAGAAATTCGGTGAATTTACGATGCTTTAGGGTTGATAAATTTTCAAGCCACGAAGATATTCCTGAACTTTCCACTCTTCTAGAAATTTCACCATCTCTCGGTTTTATAGGATTATCAAACATTTCAAAACTTGAAATTAATTATTCCACACAATCTATCTTAAAAAATTCTTTAGATTTATTAAAAACTATTCCAAGTTTATGTAAAAGAATTCATACCATGAATATCAAACTCCCTATATTCGAAAGTAGTAATCCTGATATCATCAAAGTAATCATTTCAATTATAATTGCTCAGGACAAATTAAAAGAATTTAGTTTAGAAGGGGTGGAAAACGAAAATGATTCCCGTGATATAATTCAAGCATTACAATCCCATGTTCGTTCATTAAGCTCCGTAGAAATAGACAGTGTCAACATTTCGACATCGTCACTGTACGTACTTGCTAAATGTTCGAACTTGGAAAGTCTTGCTATAACTAATTGTCGAGGACTTACTATCCAAGACATGTCAAATACTGTAACTACCACTCCTTCAACTATTGATGCTTTGTGGAATAATATTAAATTTGTTAATTTAAAGAAATTATATATTAAAAATTTATCAAAGAATACCTTAATTTCTTCTTTGATAATTCGAGCTGCTGGAAAATCTACTTTACAAGAATTAACTTTGGATGTAATAACACAAGATACTATTAATTCTATTATTGAGAATTGTCCTAATATTACTCATCTTTCACTCGTAAATTATCATCCATCTCTTCATGATCATTTATTAAACTCTTTATTTCAAACTTTAAAAAATGTTACCCACCTCACTATTCAAATTCCATCAAAATCCTCTTCTTCAATTTCGGTATCGAGTTCCTCGATCATTTCTGGAAAGTCACTTCCATCTTCTCTCACATATTTAAAACTTCAATGTGGATTCAAAAAAATTCAATTGGATGGTTTATTAAGTGATTGTTGTAATGCTAAATTGAAAGTATTAATTATTGATGTTGTTAAAATTTTATATATGGATATGAAAGTGATTACAAGCTTTATTAAAGGACAAACTGGATCTTCAGTAAAATTTCTTGGAATTGGAGGTGGTATTGGATGTGGTAAAGTGACAAAAGAGTTGGAAGAATTGAAAGAAAATTTCGGTGTCTGCGTTATTCCTTGGTATGAAATTGCTAATTGGTGAACTAAAAAAAAAAAAAAAATAGAAATTTTTATGTATATATATGGGATTGCTCTTTTTTTATTAAGATGCGATCAAAAAAAAAAAAATTATGAATATTTAAAAAAAAAAAAATAAGCTTTAAAAACAACATATGGATGTCTAAATACCGGTATTATCATCTAAAAAAATTATGAACAATCAATTTATATAATCAAAATTTAAAAAATGTATATATTATTTTTTTTTTTTTACAAATTGTATAATTATCCCTTCAAAAGTATGTAAATAGTACTATTTTCATTATTAAAAAAATAAAATAAAAAATAAAAATCAATTTTTTTATAAAAAAAAAAAAAAGCTGTTTATTATATTAAATGTGGTTTTAAAATTTCAATTAAATAACTATACAATATTTGCGCTTCCTAGAACGCGATAAGAAGTATGGACACCTACCATTCACGTGATTTTTGCACTGACCAAAAATTTAATAACTAAATATTTTATTAAGCGAAAGTGATTTTAGCCTCTAACTAAGGTTGTAGAGACCATTATTATAATTCTACGTAATAATTCCAAAATCACTAAAATTGGTCCATTGGATCTCGATATATAAGCATTAAATTCTTCGCGAATATGTAATTTGTCTACGTATACTGTAATCTCAGATATATATCACGTATGTAGCGTTATCGTTATTATGATACGGAATACACGAATGGGATATCGCCTCGTTGTATCACGTGGTCACCAGCTGTTTCCTATTCTAATTTTCTCTTTCTTTAGTCATTTCCCACAACTGGCAGCAATTCTGTAAGGAAAATTTATACGTATTAGTAATACGTATACACATATCGTCAACAAATATTTTGATATCTATATATAATACGTAGTCATCTATATATTGTGTTCACTTTTATTATTATGACATATTTATCGTTATACAAGATATATTTTAAAATGCACGTGACAACTGTAGCGGTAGTTAATTTTAGTATCAATCCCAAAATCTTTTAGATTTCTAATTCAGATTATAAAGCAAACTACGTACCTATCTGGTTATACCTTTTATTTTACTATAAATAGTAACTAATGGCTTTCCTCGTAAATTGTGATCACATAATATTAATATCACATATTTCGCGATAAAGCCAGAGATTAAAAACGTGTAGTATGCACTTTACTTTAATTACTCCCTAAAATTCATTTTACATGTGTAATTAAAGTCATTACATACTATACAGTTTATATTACTTGGTGGTTTTAAAAAGATTGAGCTTTTAACAAAGAAACGGTTTGTATTAGTTCGTCAAATTTATCACTGAAAGAACCATTAGTAAAACATTATAATTTTGAAAAGTATCAATTTTTCACAAAAAAGCAAACTTTCTTTGTCTTTGCAACACTTACAAGAATATCTAGTTGGTTATCCAACCCAACAATTATATCCACTAAAAAATTCCATTAGTTCTTTTATAACTACATTTGTTTATTTATTATGCGCATGATATTTTTTATGTTAATGAAAATTTTTGCTATAGTAATTATGTTTACATTTTTTAATCAAAGAATTGTTAATTACAATAATAGAGTCTTTTTGTTTTACGATATATTTATTCCGACCATGTAATAAGTTAATCGTTGGAAACGAAGTTTCCAATTGTACTTACATATATTAAGTATCAATTAATACCCGTGATGGATCGGTGAAAAACAACGAAAAATAATTTTTCACTAATTAAAAACTGATCTTTCGATTCATTGCTGCATTGATTGAAGTGCTTGAGAATACACATTAATACCCGTGACCTTGATATAATGATCAGGTTGTTATTACGTTTAGTTTTTTTATAACACAATTAATTTTCTAAGCGATGAAGTTTATCATTATTGAAAATCGTTAAATCTTAAAAAACATAAATTACCCAAAGCGGAAGAGTTTCTTTTGTGGCTCAAACATGAATAAGTGCATTGAAAAAAAAACTCAAAAGGATGAGCTAGGATTTGAAAATATTATTTAATTGCCGTAATAAGAATACTTTTAAAAACAAATGAATATATTTATTTATTTTTTTCTAAGTCGAAAATTTCATAAAAAAAATTTTCACTTTAGATAAACAATAATTCGGTAAATAATCTAATAATAAATAATCTAATAATAAAACATTTCATCTCAAATTAAGTATTATAAGCAATAATATTTCAAAAGATGTATTTTAAATAAGTCAATGCTGATTCTAAAATTTATATATAGGCTAAGTGCTGAGAAAAGGGACGAAATTGACAATTTTTTCAAAAGCTATTTTTTTATATAAATCAATTTAAAATAGAATAAATCTAATTTGACACCTAGTGTTTGAAACACGGATTTTGATTTTTTATAAAAAATAAACAATTTTTTATAAAAAAAAATAAATTTAATTAACTTCAGGGTTAGGGCGAGGCCTAGAATTTGGTTTAGGGCAAAGCTTATATGTAGAATTAAGCAAGGAATTTTTTTACTTAGAGCCTCAAAAGCAGTTTCATAAGCGAAATTTTTAAATATTCGCATTTTTTAAAAAAATTCTTTATTTTAGTTACACAAAAAAGATTTACATGTTATACTTGATCTTGAATTTTGATTGGCTTTTCTAATACTTTTGTACTACCTAGTGTATTGACACCCCGTGTCCAAATAGAAATTGCCTTTAAAATAAATTAGAATCATTTTTCACTTAAGACTTAAAAGTAGTTGTGTTTATAAAATTTTGCAATATAGCTCCTTAAAGTTTTCATTTTCTTATGATATATTATAAGATTTATAATATAAAAATTAATTTTCTGAAGATCTTTTTTTTTGTCAATTTTATCTCTTTTCTCAGCACCTAGCTCATATAATTAACATTGATACTGTAATATGCTATTAGCTCTAAAATTTTTGTTTATATTAGATGAAAAATTAAAGAAGAATAAATTTTTAGCATAGATTATTTAATTATTATATAAAGTTTTAAATAAATAATATATTTAAAAAGTGATCCCAAGTTTTTGCTCTATTTTAATTGACAGCTATCCTCAAATATTTAAAACCAGTCTCTTGATCTTTCTCTACTCCTTTTTTATTCAAATAAGCATTTCTCACATTATATCTAGAAGTAGGAAATTTCCAATACTAGCAGCTAATTTAAGATATTTAATAGTCTCGTCCCAATTAATAAGAATACCTTCGTATTGCCACATCGATATTGTGTCTCAAATTTACCATAATTTGCTGCTTCTTTAAACAATTTATTGTACAGTACGTTGAAGATTTTCTTTATAATTTTCTTTATGCTCAGATAGGATAGATAGAATGAGATAGTAACTAACTAACCAGTATCTCATTTACTAAGTCACAAAAGTATAATTAATACAATCTCATATTTTTTGTTCATTTCTGTCTATGTTTTTTAATTCTGCTTCTATAGTTATGAAAGCATCAAGAAGTACATAATTGTCTTCAAATCATTAGATAAATTTATTTGGTCATCTTTATAGTTACTGTTCAAACTTAACTAGTTTGGGTCTTTGGTGATATTTTATAGTATTAACTACAGTTATATCATAAGTTTGGAGTTTTGAACTAGTTTGAATTAGAACACATTTGGCAACTAAAGTTATCTTTATGATAAGAATCAGAATATTTTAGAAATTTGTGAACGATAGCTTTAAATGTATATAAAAAATTAATACTATAAATAAATGTTTATTAGTTAATTTTAATTTCAATAAATATTTTAATAATAATTAGTGCCTGCTAAATTTTAGGTACATTAGAAAATAGTTCACGATATTTTTTTGATATAAGGCATTCTTCTTTTCAGCAATTTTCTATAAAGGAGTATTTAAACTAAAATATTAATTTAAATAAATTTATGTAAAAATTAATAATATTTAAATATATCTTTATTTTTAAAATATACTTTAAATCTCGCATTTAATGTTATTACAAGTATAATATTTTTTTTTAACTATTTTTTCTGACATCATATATCTCAAGTTTTCAAAATAATCACTCTATTTTGACTTTTATTGAAATTAGCTATTTTACCTTTTTGATTACTGTTTATTAATATGTTGGCACTTCTATGCAAAATCTATTATAATATATAAATTTAGTCATTTAATATTAAAACTTTATAATATGTTCAAAAATTTGTAATTCTGTCAAAATAGTAACTTGTTAATAAATTCCTTTTATTGTTTGCTTATTATCAAAGTATGTAAATTCTTGTGTTTATTTAGTAATAATTTGGAATGATTATAATCTTATTACTAATACAGATAGATCTGTGATTGATATTTGTACTAATTAATACTCAATAGGTATTTGATAGGTTCAAGTCTATAATAACCAGATCTTATATAAGTTTTTTACACAAATTTAACTTTAGCTATCTTCTTAAAAGCTAAGTTAGTTTTAATTTTATTAGCTATTAGTACTTGTCTCTGAAATAACTAAATTTAAATTTATACTAATTTCTTATTTATTATTCTTAAAGAATATAATAAAAAAATTATTTATTCTATCTAAAATTCTTTTTTTAAAATATTGGTTTATTTGAATAACTTTACTTAACTACATTAAATTCTTTAACTTTACTATTAACTTTTATAAAATACAAGTATATAATAATAATATATATAATAATAATACAAATTATCTAGCTAAACACTATTTATTTTTACTCTTTCTTGAATTTAATTATATTAATATTTATAACCTTTATTACATATTACAGTTTGAAAACTTTCTAGTTGAACAACTTGCATAAAAGCTAATTAAAAACATATATAACTCTTATATTATAGCTTTATAATTTTTTTAAAATTGAATATAAAATATTTCTTTTATTTTTCTTAATAACAACCAAAAATAGTCATTTAACTTTACTACCTTCTAATTCAGTTATCAAAAATCTTTTCAAATTAAAAACTTATTAAATAAACTCCTAATACTTTTTTATTTATATTAACTCTACTCAAATATTATTATATATAATAAC